AGAAAAACTTCAGTCTGGTCAAGGAGGGGAGGCTGTTCTGGGAGGAGGGTGGTATCCGCACCCAGGCAGAGGTGAATGGGTGGGTGTTTTCCGAGAGCAGCAGCACGGGACTCCTGGAGAGTGGCTGGAGAAGTGGGCAGGCTGTGAGAGCCTTGAAGGAACCCCGTCCTGCCCAGCAGGAACCAGGACAGCACTCTGCCCCGGGACGGCTCCCTGGTGGTAGTGAGCTCCCCGGCCCTGGCATGTGCAAGCACAAACTGTGCCTTCACGTTCACTCTCCTGACGCGAGCACTCACTCTTGGCCTGCTCCACTGCTCAGAGCAGGGATATGAAAAAGACTTGGCCCTGTCCTCACCCCTGACCAGGGACAGGACCACCAAGCCCTCTGATCCAAGGCAGAGGAAGGAATTATCGAAGAAAGGCAGGCCCGGCCTGGAAGCCGGGGTGGGGTGAATTATGCTGGGCGCCAGAAAGACTCCACAGAGGAGGCGGCTAAGCACTGGGTTTTGGAGAGGTGGGCATGTGGCATCCAGGGAGGCTAGTGAGCATCAGCATCTGGGTACCTTAGTCTCACCACCATCACGGCTTGAAGGGGCCTCATTCACAGCTGAACCCTGGAGGAGGGGAGTGAGGGCTTTGGGCTCATGGGGCTTCCAGTCCTCCTCCTGCCTCTTTTAGAGCTTTGGGGAAGTCTCTCCCCCTCTCCAGGCCTCTGTTTTCTCATCTGAGAATCAGGGATGGTAAGAATAATGCCCCGGGGGAGGAGCCGTTGTGCGGATTGATTAAGATCGTGCCTGAGCTGGGTCTCACTGGAAGCAGGTGCCGCTATTTACACTGGTGAGGCTGTTAACCCCGCCCAGCCTCTGTGCTCCCCTCTGTATTCAGGATGGGTCAGGGCAGGATTCTCACATGGGGCCAGCCACCGAGGACACATCCATGCACTGACAGTCAGTTCCACGGGGCAGAGACGGAGGAGGGCTGCCCACACCACTGGCACTCCAGGAGCCCCTCCAGAGGACATAGCCTGCAGCCTGAAGCTCTGGGAGCTCTTCCCAGGGATAAGGCCTGGGCATCCCCCACAGACCACAGGGCAAGACAGGGGTGTTGAGAAATGTTAAGTTTATGAATATTGAGAAATGTTGAGTGTCTGATACAATAGATTGTTTGCTAGGAAGAATGATGGCAAGGAAAACCTAGCTCCTCCCACCAAGTAGGAAACTGCTATTCCAAAGAGGCAGGACAAGGCGTAAACGTCACACACCGGTTAAAACAATTCTTTAAGACAGCTGACCCTGCCCCCGTGGCTCTCTCGTGGAGAATGCTTTTTAGTTTGTGATCAGCGGTAAGGGGCCACCTGCTGCCTACTTGGCATATTTTGTGTTATAAGACAAGACCGAACACCTGTGCAGAGAGAATCGCCACGTGGGTCAGCGTCTGCTGGAGGCCTTCAGCCCGCAATGTGTTAGCCCCTGAGGCTCTCGGCTCGGAAGGCTATTGGCCCCCGGATAGACCCACTTTGCTGTTCTGTCTGGGTGTCTGCTTCTCAATACCTTCAGTGCCACCTGGGTGAGGGTCCCTACAGCCGAGCTGCTCTCGGTACAGGGACAGAGTTCAGGGAGCCTCTTGCCATGAGGGGATGCATCCAACCTCTCATAATGGGGTATGCTGAGTGCTGGGGACCATGGGGCAGCGTGTGCTGGGCTCACAGCACCCCTTGGAGAGGGCGGAAGGACCGTTTCCCACAGTGCCCTGCCAGGCCTGGCCAGGGCCTTCAGGTGAGCACCATCTGTCCTGGGCTCATGGGCGGCATCTCACAGGCCCAGCTGCCGCAGCTGGACACTCCTCAGATCTCAGCGTGGGGCCCACTTGTAGTGCTGGAGACAGGGGTGCAGGGGCCATGCATGGGGCTTCAGGCCCTTCCCTAGAGATGCTGTTCATGGCCTCAGGCCATCCAAGGGATTTGGCAGCCATGATTTCCTCCCCTCCTCAGGGGCCGGGGGTGAGGCCCGTTTGGCCCACGGTGGGAAAAGGGTGCAGAGGGGCAGCCCCGTCTTCCCGCCTGCTTAATCTCAGGGCTTTATCACTTGGGAGTGGGGACAAGACATGTTTACATGGCCCTGCATTTGTTCCCCATTATTCATCAGCACTGGCGAGTCACTGTTCCCTGCTAGTGTAAACAGCCCTGGCCCAAGGCCCAGCCGCCCTGCCAGGTCTCTGAGGGTTTGTAAATGCCTTACGTCAACTGCCCTTTGCTTCAAGCTCTCAGTGAGGTGAGGAGTGGCCAGGCCAGACGGCTGCAGATGGGCGGCACCAGGGAGCTTACTCGTGACAGGGGTGAGATAGCACTTCTGCACCAGAAACTCAGCATTTGAGGGTCTGTTTCTGCTTTGCTTACTTTACAGTTGAACCTTTACTAGGGCTGGGGAAGCCAAGGCACAGAGCAAGGAATCTGAGAACCATGGGAAGAAAGGCGACGACCGTGGCATGAGACGGGTCTGGACTGAGTCCCAGGGACACTACCCACGTCCAGGTCCCACTGTTAAGTGTGTGCCAGCACAGGCCTTTCCAGGGTCTTATTGGCCCGGAGATGGGACTCACCCCAGGAATGCTGGGCCCTTCTCGATGCTCCTCACGGCAAGCTGCGTCTGGGGTTGACCTGCATGTGCCCAAGCTGACGCGGGACTCTAATTCTTGTGAGGAGCAGCCGGCTCTTCTCCGCGTTAGTCTGAGCACGCTCGCTGACACAGCCAGCTTAGCATGGGGCCAAAGGCACGCGCTCTGCAGCTAGACAGCAGGGCTAGGTCCGGCCTTCACTCTTACGTGCTGTGTCACTGTACTCCAGCTGCTTCAGCTCCCAGAGCCTCTGCGTCCTCATCTGTAAAATGGGATCAATAACGTGACCTATCACACAGGAAGCCGTGAGGATCACATGAGCCTGCGCCTGACACATCACAAACACCCAAGGGCTGTTTGCTTTGTGTTATTAACAGGATGAGTAGGACACAGCCTGCCTGGCTCGGTGCTTTTCATGGTCCAGGGCAGGCTGGAGACAGACCCCAGGGGCAGACATGGCTGAGACGTGGAGGGGAGGGAGGCGACCACTTGCCACACCTTGGGGCTGCCCCCAGCAAAGGTGGCATTGGCACTGGGCCCCTAGGGAGCCCAAAGCAAGGCTTTGTTGAATGGGGAAAGGTGCTGAGAATAGTCCATATCCCTCCTCCCCAGGCATCCCCCAGTCACACTGTCGGGTCGGGTCGTGGTGCGATCACATGGCTCCTCTCAGCAAGGGCCACCACTACCAGGTTAGCTGTAACCGCAGGTGGCTTTTAGAGTTCAGAGCTCTGCCTGCCTCCTCCGGCTGCCCACGCAGCTGACATTTGAGCTTGCCAAAGAATAATGGCCTCGCTGTCGGCCTCAAAGACAGCCGCGCCGTCTCTTAGGTGGTAAAGTGGTCTGTTGCCCATGAGTCTAAATAGGATCCAGCTCACATCGCTCCACAGCTGAGTCCTCTCCTGGTTCAGTGCAGGTCACCAGCTCTCTACCTTTTCACATCCTTTTGGTTCCAACAGTAAAATATGTCTGTGTTCAAAAGAAATGTATCAAAAGCTCAACACCAGAGTGTGTGTGTGTGTGTGTGTGCGTGTGCGCGTGTGCGCACGTGTTGGAGGCCAGGGACTGGCTAAAAGCAGTCAGTAGCTCACGCTGCCTTTGTGGTTTTATATATTTGCCTATTAAAATGACAATACAGACATGGAACATTAAGGTTTAAGAAGCCCTTCTTTCATTAAACAAACTGACAGAGTAGGGGGTTATGACTCTGGTAATTGAAACATGCTGCTCTGTTCAAGACCAGAACTCCATAAAGACTCTTCTCAGCCAAGAGCACGCTTTGTGCTAGCGGCCTCTGGTCAGAAACGAGTGTCGGCCCTGAGATCGGCCTCTCCCTGAGACTGGGAAAGACCGCTTGGCAGCCTTCTGCAGCCGTCTCGGCAGCCAGAGGTCAGGGCCTTTTCTTAATAAAAACCTCATTCTCGGGGACTTTTGAAATCAGTTGCAGGACACAGAGCCTCAGGCGTGGCCCTGCGCTCCAGCCCACAGTCATGTTGTGCTGCTGCTGGTAATCCTGAGCTAGGTCAAGAAAGAGGGGCTTGTGGGGTGGAGCTGCAGAGCTCCCGGTGTTGGGACAGCCGCTGCAGGCTGCTCTGTCTTCCTAGAGCCCTCCTCTCACTGACATCTGGCGATGTCAGTGAGAGCCGAGGTTTCAGGGTCAGATCACCAGGTTTGAATCCTGCCTCTGCCACTTACCATGTGTAGCACTGTGGACAAATGACTCTGCCTCTCCACACCTAAGTTTCCTCCTCTATAAAATGCACTGGCACCTGGATCTGATTTACAGGGTTGCCGTGAGAATTAAAGGAATTAATACAGGTAAGATGCTTAGAACAGTGCTGGGCACACAGACAGTACTGTGCAGTCGGAGTGAGCTAGCATCATAGCCATTGAACTATTTCCATGAGTAGCTTTCGGGAGTACCACTGTGCAGCATCACCATAGAGTCCCACCCTACCACTGTAGCCCAGCGCCACAGAGTCCCACCCTACCACTGTAGCCCAGCGCCATACAGCCTACTGTACATAGCACAGCACAATGGCAGCCCACTGTAGAGTACCACCGTGGTGTCTCACCATGGAGGCCCGCTGTAGAGTGCCACCGTGGTGTCTCACCATGGAGGCCCGCTGTAGAGTGCCACCGTGGTGCCTCACCATGGAGGCCCACTGTAGAGTGCCACCACATTACATTGCCACGGGGCCCACAGTAGGGTACCACCGTGGTGCAGGGCTGTGAAGGCTACTCCTGTGTCACCATAATACAGCACCAGGGAGGCCCTCTCCGGAGTCCCTCCCTTCAGGGCCATGTGAGGAAATTCACTGCCTCCTGGTCCTGCCAGCCCATCATCCCCTGCTTCCAACTCAGGTCCCCTTGTTTTCCTCTTCTCACAGATGTGGACGAGTGTCAGGACAATAATGGTGGCTGCCAGCAGATCTGCGTCAACACCATGGGCAGCTATGAGTGTCAGTGCCACAGTGGCTTCTTCCTTAGTGACAACCAGCATACCTGCATCCACCGCTCCAACGGTGAGTACGGCCTGTGCTGAGCAGGCGTGCCCCTCCCTTCAAGATGGGCAGCCCCAGAGTCCCCTTCTCCACATCTCGATTCCAGGGCCCTCAAGGCCAAGGCAGGGGATGTGGGTGGTAGTCTGAATGGCTGTTTTGCACATCTGGCATTGGTTCTGCGTGGGCCTCCTTCCAGCTCCTTCCCTCTGCTGGCCACGCTAGGGCTGCGGGTGTTTCTTGTGTTTATATGTGGGGCCGCAAATGGTACGTGTGACCAGAGGAGCTGTTTTCCTTTCTGGGTTGGGGCTGACTGTGGCTAGGAAGAGTGGGCACCATTCTCCGCAGGCTCCTTCTCTAAAGGGGGCTTGAGGCTACCTAGGCTGTGTGCCAGCTTCTCCGTCTTTGTGAGCCTGTCAGCACCAGCGCCTCCCTGCAGAATGTTCATTGGGTTTCCCGCCCAGAGAGGGTCCTTGTGGTCAGGAGCCTGTCTTTTAGAGGACAGGCGGGGTGGCAGGTCAGCCTGGGGAGGTGCAGAGGGCCCCAGAAAGACACCCCACTAGCTGGAGCACTAGATGGCAGACCCAGGCTGGAGTGGAGCCTGGCTGCCAGCCAAGCCCAGCAGGCAAAGGCACATGGTGTTGGGGCCTCAGTGGTCAGATCCTGGAGTTTGGGCTCAGGGCAGCAGGCCTCTGAGGTGGTGGCAGAGCTGGCCAGAAAGCTGGGACACGTGTGCTTGGTGGAGAGAGGCTTCCAGGCAAAGAACAGCATTTGGAAAGGTGCAGGGCGTCTCTTGCTTAAGGTATGCAAGGTTAGGCATCTTGAGGAAGGGCTGGGTGCTGCAGCAGAGCGGGCTGTGGGGGCAGAGGCACGAGCTGAGGCTCCCAGGGCCTGGCTGTCGTGAGCTATCAAGGCAAGAGATAAAGAAGACCAGGACTGCCCCAACTCGAGCACTCCCCCATTCCTGACCCTTGACAAGGAGGCGCTGGAGGCTTGTGGGCATTCCTGGAGAGGTTGCATCTCTCTAGCACACAGTCCCCGCAGAAGGCTCAGAGAGGGTCCACACTGAGAGGTGGGGAGCCAAAGGGCACGCACTGCATTCCAGGCCAGTTGGACCCTGTGTGAATCCAGCTCCTCCCCTCCCACGCTGGAAGCCTTCCCTTGGGCGGCTCCACTGACTGCTCCCCAGCTTCCTCGCCCGCAAAACGGGGACAAGGTGTTACCTGGCAGGTGTTTGGAGATGGGGCAGGACCCTGGGATGAGGTGCCAGCCTCCTGTGAGCAGGCAGGAGGCTGTGAGGTGCAACTCTGCTGGCGCAGGCATGAGCTTCATTAGAAAACAGCTCCTGAGAAAGTGAAAGCAAAACATTTTAAAAGTCCTCAGGCTAATAAAGCGGAAATGCTCAGACAGGCTCCCTAGAATGTTTAGTGTTTGTTGCCTCAAAGACAGGCCTGCTCATCACGGCTCCGTGGTGTCCCTGGAAGGACAGGGTCCAAGCTCCATGGCTCCTGGCACTTGCTGCTGTCATGTTGTCCATACTCCATCCAGGTGACTCTCCCAGGCATCAGGAGTTCATTTTGTGTCTTCTAAGACCTCCCAGTGGTGGGCTGTGGGGCCAAGCTGCCCACCATGGAGGCAAACCCTGTAAACCAGGACTCTGAGCCCAGCAGGTTGCATAAGAAGCAGATTTCTGCGGACAGAGTGAGCAAGTGCCAGGAGGGGCACCTGCTTTCATCAAGGGAGGGGATTTCACAGAGTGACTGCTCAGAGCAGGCCGTGAAGTCCCAGGCCAGGGTGTGTGTGCTCTGTTCCTTTGACATGCGGCTTTCTCCCCAGCAGGGCCCCTGGTTGAAAGGAGAGTGTGCCGCGGGAAGGTCACACCCACAGCTACGGCCTGTGTGTTACAGGTTTGGCCTGTCAGCACCTGCTGTGCTGAGGACCAGGGTTTGGGAGGGGATGATGTGAGGGCAGGGACAGCAGCTGCTGCTGGAGCCACACACTTACCCTGAGCCGGACACGGCCCTGAGCGCTGCCCAAAGACCAGCTCACTCCACCCTCGCCACTGCTCAGCAGGGCTGGATTGCGACGCTGAGGAAGCCAAAGCCCAGTCAAGTTGGGAAAGAGGCAGAGCCGGGATCCAAGCCAGGAGCACTAGCTACGGGGCTCGCTCCTCGGGAGGTGATGAGGTGCATGAGGAAAGAAATGGGTGGTGGAGCAGACAGTGCTAGAGCGAATGAGAAAGTCAGGTGGGAAACTTGTGGGGAGTGTGCCAGGCCAGGGGTGTGCAAAGGCCCCGGGTTGGGAATGGGCACGTGAAAAGCAGAACAAAGGGCAGGATGGAGAAGCAGGGCACGCAAAGCAGGAGGAGCCCAGAGTGAGGGGGCTGGGGCTGGACGATGTGGGGCCTGGTGGGCCACGGCAGGAGTTTGGATTTCAGCTGTGGGAAAGCTGGTTAAGCAGAGGTGGAAGTGATGCTTAGGGAAGAGGGCGGACAGCCGGGGGAGCACCGAAACTTCCGGGGGCTGGTATCACATAAATTGTGCAGTGGCTGGTGTTGGGTGGGACCCTGGGCACACATGGCTCACTCCACCCAGATGCCCCAGGTGGCCAGATCCTGATTTTTAAGTAAGCCAGGAACCCCGGTTTAACCAGAATATGGATTTGGGGGCCTCAGTCCCAGTCTGCATTGACCAGCGTGTTGGCCAGAGAAGCCATCCTTAGGGTCTTTGTGTGGCCTCTGCTATCTAAAAAACAACAGATAACTTATTGGATCACTCTTGAAGGACAAGCTGCAGCATTCCCAGGGTTTCCACAGCTGTGTGGAAGACCCGAAGAGGGCAGAGCACGCACGCAGCACACAGGCCAGCTGCCCCTGAATGCCCGTGGGGAGACAGGGACCTGGGGACTAGGCAGGTTGTCTGCCTCCCTGAGCCTCAGTCTGTTGTGACAGTTGCCCACCATTAGTGTCAACTGCAATAATGATTGTCACAGCTCGCAGTGAGAGCATGTCAGAGGAGCTAAGACTGAGCTTGTTTTGCACACAAGTGGCCTCTGACTCCCATAGCTCCTGGGAGGGCTGATGGATCGCGAGCCATTTGGCAAATTAGATTCCTCCTATCACCTGACTCTGCCTAATGCCTGTCCAGCTCTTTGGAGCCTACCCCTGAACAGGGAGAAAAGCACACAGGCTGGTTTTGATTAGATTGGAACCAGATGCGTGAGAGGGGTTGGCCCAGGTCAGTCCAGGCTCCTGACTGAAAAACACAGGGCTCAGCCCTTCTGAGGGCCCTGCTTCCTAGGCGCCAGTGCACACCCCAGCCCAGGGTGTGGCTGTGACCTGGGCTGGGCTTGGGAGGCTTAGTCTCTCAGCTCCAGTTCTCCACGCGCTCTGCCAGTCACTCTGGCCTCCTCGGGTGTTTTCAGCTGTAAAATGGGCCTAGCTGTCAAATTTTCCCCATTAGCGGGTAAATGCTCTGTCACTATCAAGGGCAGCACCTGTCCTAGGAGTGGTGACTGATGTGGGAGCTTCCTCGGGTCTTTAGAACACAGGCTTGATTTGTGGGACTCACACAGGCTGCTCCTCTGTGCCCACACTTGGCGGGAGGGAAGGAGAGACGCTGGGATCTGGCCAGTTTCCCTCTGCTCAGCACTTCCCAGCACTGGTTCTAGCCCCGTGATAGCCCCACCCACCTCCCACTCAGCCCAGCCGGATAAGTGCCTACAATCCTGCCTCTGGCCACAGCCCCAGGGGCCTGCCCGCTGCCGCCATCACGGCCTTGTGCCTGGTATACCCAGAAGGTAGCACCTTCAGGCTCTCTCCCTCTCCCACGCTGCTGTCCTCGTCTGTAGCTTCTGACGGATTGGTGCCATAGGAAGATGTGGCCTCCTGGAGGAAGTTTCTCCTTGTCTCTCCATGAACAATTCTTTCTTTCAGTCTGACCAGAATCCATCCAGGGCTCTGGAAGGCCTCAGTCTTACTAGCCACGTGATTGCAGGTCACTTGTATTTATCTGCTCGCTTATTCATTCATTCATTCATTCATTTATTCGTGTGCCAGGTGCTCTGCTAGTCCCTAGCATCTGAGGCATGGTCCCCTGTGCAGCTTTCAGTCTGGAAAGGGGATCAAGTGCTGCTCAGGGGTGCTGAGAGATGCTATACAGTCATGAGTTTAGGGAAACGCTCTGGGGATTCTGGGGCTTTGGTTTTTCTCATCTGAGCAGCAGAGATGCTCACGACGCGATCTCCTCCACCTGATGAAGTATTGCTACTCCGTGGGCCCAGCACTGGCCCTGGGCCGCACTGGCTGCCAGCAGTCTTGGGTTTGCGATACCCCTGGCCCTCCGTGCAAGAGGCTGTTGTGCAGGGCTCTGTTCTGAAGCCTCACCAGCCGCCCCCTGTGGGCTGGCCTCAGCCTTGGTGGAAGGCACCAGAGTGAGAGAAAACGTCACATTGTCCCCATCATTGTAGGAAGCAACAGAGGCTCACAAGGGGGCTTCAGGCCCAGCGGCCTAGGCTGGAACCCCGGCTCTACCGTGGACTAGGTCGTGACCTTGAGCAAGTCACTCAGCTTCTCTGTGCCTTACCTGTAAAATGGAGATAGTCATAATACCTGCTTCATCAAGTTTAAAAGGCGTTGAAAAGACAGTTTCAATAAACGTGGGCTCTTATTAATGGTATTTGTGACAGATGAGGAAACTGAGGCCCTGAGAGGGCAGGGCCTGGCCCAGGACCCCACAGCAAGCCAACAGCAGAGTCAGGACCTGGGAGCTCTCGGAGCGAGGCTCTGCTGACCAGTGCTAGGTGCTGTTCCGGAGCCTGCGCGTTCGGCAGAGCGGGAGGGAGAGCAGCAAGAGGCCGGCTTTGTCCTCAAGGAACCAGCAACTGGTGGTCCTTGCACCTGGGCTCATCTGTGAATAGGGCAGCACATGCCAACGCCCAGGGCCCAACGAGAAGCCACTGTCCCTCATCCATCGGCTGAGCGCCCGCACCTATCCAGCCTCAGGGCAGCCCTCCAGATTGCCCAG